GAAAAAGAATCTCTGGATCTTGTTTCATTTTATTTTTCCCAGAAGGACCCAAATGAGGCCCTCTGCATCTTCCATAATCCATTAGCTCCTGGACAAACATCCTGTTTGTTACCCTCCCCCCAACAGCACCACAGAGCTTGACTGATGGTGATAGACCACACCACAGCTCATGGCTGACTTAATGGCAAGCAGAGACCACCTCCCTCTCTGCAAAGTCCCTTGATACAAAGGACAAAGCAACGCCTGTGCCAGCACCACCAATCTATGCTGCTTGGCCTATCGACACCATCCCAGGCAGAAAAATACCACAGTTTCTACTGGAAGGGAGCAGGAGCAGGTCCTGGCAGTAGAATGCCCTGCTTTGTCCCGAAGCAGAGTGCAACCCTCTCACCCTTTGCCATGTTCCCACCCGCCTTCCCAGCTCCCAACCTTCAGCCCTTTCAACACCCACAGTCTTTCCACTCTGCTGCAAAGCGATGAGAAATTCCCTGCCAGAGGACATTGTTCAAATGGTTTATTGAAAATAAATGCTATTCTCTACTCCGAGCAAACAAGCTTCTTCTTTTCCCCTTAAGGAAGAAGGTTAACAGCACAGCCAGGGAAAAAAAAGCTATCCCCAAAGCTTGCTGTAATAATATTAAGTAAGAGACCAAAGGGGTTTGGCCAGGAAAATCCCAAGTTCAAAAGAATAATTGCTCCAAGAGATTTAAGCCTAAAGCTGAGTCACTAAAATGAAGAAACCTCTCCTTGTCCATAGAAAGCAAACAAATCTTGGGTCTTGCAGCAAAGCTTCTGTATGTCCTTGTTAGAAAGAAAGAAGAAAGAAGCCAAATGCAATTAATCATAGACTCAGAAGAAAGGATGACATCTCTCTAATTAGCTACGTAGGCTCATCTTTCCACTTTTGAAGACTAATCCAACCTTTCTCTTTCACTCTTCACCCACAGCAGTGCCACAAAAGCCTACTACAAGTACCATGTAACTTCTCTCCAGGGGTACATGGCACACTCTCACCTGCAGCCTGTGGTCCCCTAACAGCTTTCCAGTAAGTATATGGGGTCAGGGGGCAACACATGCAGAGAGCAAAGAGAGCTCCTTTTCTTAGTTACCTTTTGCAAATGAGCTGTGATGGATTTTGTAGACTCACTGAGAATCTGGAGACTTCAGCTGAACTACAGGAGTTATTTTCAAGCTAGGTATTTTATATCCACAATCCTGATCCAACAAATCAATGACCAGAAAACACCAATTAAAAAAAAAAAAAAAGTATACAAACATGAAAACATTTTCCAAATGGTTAAGTTTACTACAGCTTGTGATAATAAATTGGCTTATACCTGCTCTTCAGGTGTTCTAAGTTTGCCTGACCATCACCTTGCCCATATAAAGCATTTTATTCACAGCTGTACACACTGATTGTACAAAGGTGAGTGGCCAGGGCTACATATTAAGAGCAAGGTCTCCAGCAATTACATTTGGTAGGGTGAAGCCAGCTGGCAAGTCTTGATTTACAAAAGCCAAGCCAGATTTCAGAGATGAAACATGTCCCAGTCTGACTAAAAGTCACAATTCCTTTGCTACAGCTTCCAAGTCTGAGAAAACATTGGGGGAAAGTGTAGTACTTGAGAGAGAGGAGGAAGAAGGGCTGGAGCTGGTAGCTACACCTTAGAGTTGGGGTCCAGCAGCAAAAATATCCTATACAAATCAGAACAAACAAATCAACTTTTCTGGCACTCCCTTTATAAATAAAAGCTGAGAAATATTATTCCAACAATGAAGACAACAACTGACCAGCTCTTTAGGTCAAGTACGTCAGTAGTAAATACAATACAGACACAAAAATTACATCTGTTGAGGAGCTGAGTCTGATTGGTGCTCCCTCTCTTGTATGAACAGTGCTGTCAACATGCGAATAATGCTGTCAACAACAGTTGGGGAATGCCAGCCAGCTTTGTAGTCAGGGAGAGTAAAGAATGCAGAGTGGACAGAAATCTTCGGCTTTGCTCTTCCATGACATGGCAGAAATGTTTGTGCTTGGGGTTTGTTGTTTTTCTTCTTTTCCCCAAAGGAAGGAGATTGAGTCACTTCCCTATGAAAAAAAAATTGAAGTGATTTGACAGCTCCAAGTCCAGCTGAAGCCTTCCTGTACAAATGTGGGAAACAGGGAGGAATGACCAACAGCCAATCTGTGGGATAGAGCAACAGCATCAGAGAGCCTCGGGTGTGTCCACGATGCAACACCCACTCCTTTCCCTCCGGCTCAGTGCTACAGGCACAGCCAGAGGTGCTGCAGATGCACTGGGGGCTGTTTCATGGCACAGAGTGTCTTCATCTGCTTGCAGAGCTGAAACACCACTCACCATCGACTCCAGCCAAAACACTGGAAGTTAGTGGATTGCTCCTCCAGTCTTTCCACAGAAACTTGGCAGAGGAGCTAAGTACAGCATCAGAGCAAAGGCAGGATTTAGCTTCAGCCAAAGTGGCTGCCAAACACCCAGAGAGGCCGTCTCTGTGCAGTCCTTCAGCCTGGAGCTGCTGTTCATAAAACCAACTCAACTCTGCGCGTCAGGGCGGTCAGAGGGCCGGGCCAAGACGCGAGGATTTGTCCCTTGTTGATGGGGATGCCTACCATCCTTCCAGCGGGATGCACAAATCAGTGTTGGAGAAAACCAAATGCTGTCGGCAGACAGGCTGCTTTTCCCAGCCCTGCACTGGGACAGAAGAGCAGCCCCAGCCTGGATGCTCCTACAGCCAGGCATGACCTGCAAGCCGAAGCCGCCCTCCACAGGATGCAAGGAAAACAGCCCCTGCGACAGGAAAGTCAAAAGCTATGTAGTGTTTCAGATGTAAGTCCCTTATTTTCCTAAAATTTCCTAAAAGGCAACATTCACTTTTCTCAGTGTTACATTGCAGGCACAAAATGTAAGGGCCAGAGATTTTCCAAAAAAGCAGCAACCTGGGGAGTCCTGCAGCATCTGGCAGCACCAAGCCCTGACATCCAAAAGCCTGGCTGCATTCAAATGTCTCTAACTAGTTAACTGAAACAGTGGATTCTCTCCCACTACTGATTTTTCTATAAACCAGCGACTGATGCACACACTGGAAAGTGAAACCAAATGAATTTTTGTTAGGTAGCAATGCTGCTTAGGTGTTGATGTTGAAATATGGGCATACAACCAACGATTGAGCTGAGAACTGAGGTAACCTTTACTTGTAGACAATCCAGTCACCATACTTGATGAAAAACAATACTAATCAATAAAATAATCACTCTAGCAGCAACATCTATAAATACTTTTAAATCTGGAATTAGTTAATATGTACATCCCTGATTTCCATTTTATTTAAACATATGACAACTACAAAACAGATCTTCCTAGCCAACCTCAGATCAATTAAGCCAACACAGAACAGGCACCAACTACAAATTTCAAGTGAGAGGAATAAAATTCCTGAGATTGTCTGCAGCAGTGA